CAAAAATTGAGTTTTTTTTTTTTTTTTTGAGACCGTAATGTCGCAAAAGGAGGACCATATGCCGCTTGAAAATAGATGGGTGATCGAATTGATGCCTATGAATTACTGGACGACTCAATTGTCTACTTGAAATATGTAGAGGATCACTATTAAAAAACAGCTAAATTGATCATTCAACTATTAGGGTGTGTTTGATTACAAGTATAGAATTTATATAAAAAAAAATAAATTCTAAATAATTGAATTGCCTAGAAATTATTTGTACAAAATTTGTTAATTAAATGTGCTTGATTGATTTTATTTTCAACCTGAAAATCTTAAACTTGTCTTTTTTATTGGTAGGTAGATAAAAGAAAGAGAAAGCAGATGAGAGAAAGAGAAAGTGAATTATTTGACAAATAAAAATCTACTTCCTCCTAGCCTTGTTTTCAAGAAAAATATGATCATATAACCAAAAGTAAAAAAATATTTTTCATGAAAAAGGTATTAACCAAATAGCACAAAAGTAGAAATTTGAATGATAAAATGACATTTTCCACGAAAAATATTGACAATTAAATATACTTTTAAATTCATATTTAATTTTTTCAATATGAAATACCTGTTTCGGTCTTTCAATTATGTGTAATGTCGAATTAGATCCATCAACTATATATAAAATTAATATGTCCTTCAACTGTTAGAACCATCCAATTAGACCCTTAAACTCCTAAAACAATGTAATTTGATCCTTCAACTGTAACAAACACCAAATTTGATCCTTCCACCATTTTTAATAGCAATTTTTGTCATTCTTCTTCTACAATCATCTAATTCGATCCTTCAACTATTTCGTACATCAAATTAGGTCCTTCAACTATTAGAAACATCTATTTCGATCGTTCAACTTTTACTATCATCTAATTTGATCCTTCGTCTACTAGAAACATCAAATTCAATCCTCCAACCATTTGAACACCAAATTTGATCCTTTAACTATTGTTATCATCTAATTCGGTCCTTCAACAACAATGACAATACTTTCAATCCTTCAACTTTTGCAATCATCTAATTTTGTCATTTAACTCTATAAACATCGAATTGGATGCTTCATCTATTAGGAACATCTATCAATCCTTCAGTTGTTACTATCATCTAATTGGAAAGCCATTTAACTATTAGAAAAAACTACCACGGTCCTTCAACTATTAGAAGCAACGATTTTTGTCCTTGAACTTTTATTATCATCTAATTAATTTCTTCAACTTTTCTATCATCTATTTTGGTCCTTCAACTATATGGAACATCAAATTTGCTTCAACTATATGGAACATCAAATTTGATCCTTGCACTATTGGAAACATTGATTTCGGTCCATAAACTTTCACAATCATCTAATTGATCCTTCAACTATATGTAACTTCAAATGTCATCCTTCAACTTTTAGAAATATATTTTTGGTCCTTCAACTATCGAAAGCATCAAATTTGGTACTATAACTATTAGAAACATCGATTTCAGTCCTTAAGTTTTATCGTCATCTATTCGATCCTTCAACTATATGAACTATCAAGTTTGATCCTTTAGCATTTAGAAAAAACTATTTAGGTCCTTCAACTATTATAAACATCTATTCTAATCCTTTAGCTATTTGAAATATCAAATTTGAACTTTCAACTATTAGAAGCATCTATTTTGGTTATTCATTTATTAGTAGCAATGATTTGGATCCTTTAACTATTACTATCATCTATTTCGATCATTGAACTATTACTATAAAAAAAAATTGATCCTTCAATTATTACTGTCGCCTAATTTAGTCCTTCGACTATATGAAACATCAAATACGATCCTTCAACTTCTACTACCAAAAAATTGATCCTTCAACTACTACTATCATCTAATTCAGTCCTTCGACATTATGAAACATCAAATACTATCCTTCAACTATTACTACCATCTAATTCGGTACTTACAACTATTAGAAATATTTATTTCGATCATTCAACTTTTAAAATCATCTAATTCGATCCTTCAATTATTTGAAACATCAAATTTGATCCTTCATCCCTATATATGTGTGGCATTCAAGAGAGAGCGTGGTTGGAGCGACATAGCTCCCACTTCCGAATACATGTATAGATGCAACCATTCTGTCATTCATTGCATATACGTATATTTTTTGAAACCCAGTATCCTTTGGCCTAAACAATCGAGGAGTTATCGATCTAAAATTCGCTACAAGGGTCAAAAGAAAGTTTAAGGGAGTGAGGTAAAATATGAGATTTAATTTGGAAAAAAAGAGAAAAAAAATTGTTGTTGTATAATTATATTTGATGTTTGGGTTTAGATAACTAGTGCATTTAAATTACTTAATATAAGCTTCAATGTGGAAGCACTCATTAGTGGAGAATCCTCATATGTCTAGACACTGAGATTGGTAGTTAGATCCAATCAAACAAGAGTAGAAAGCCACACAAAAAAAATAATAATAAAGAATAATTGGAGATCAGCCTTTATATTTACACCTTGGTGAAAAAGAAGAATTATAGCCATTTGAGGAGTGTAAATTTCATGAGCAGAAAAGGAAATATTTGATTATAAAGGGTCAGTTTGGAGTCAATTTGAAGATTTTTTCCCTCTTGACTTTTATTTTTTATTTTTTTTAATTTAGATAATAATTGAAAGTGACTATGTACACACATACTGTTCGAACATTAAATAAATTTAAATTATTTTTGTTAATATTATTTGGAACGTATTTGTGAATTGACTATACAATTTTACACTCATTGATATTTTTGGCAAGCTATCTACTGTGTCAATCTTCATCTCATTTTACATGATTGTGATAGTTGATAATCATGCTCGGGACGAGCAGAAGTTTAAGTTTGGTGGTATTTGATAAGTGTATTTTTGCATACTCATTTAATACTTAAATAAACTTAAATATTGATTAAATGGGCGAATTTCGATTCACAATTACGTAATTATTGCTTTTGTAAGTAAAAATCACCCAAGAAAAGAGAACAAAACAAAATGGAGTGAAAAGGGACCAAAAGCGTACAAAAAGGTGAAGTTGGGGACCAAATTGCACAAGTGCCGAAGTTGAGACCTTGGACTACAATTTATGGAGGGTAAAACTGATATAAAAGTCAAACAAAGGGCCAAATTGTACAAGTTCAAAGTTGAGGGACCTTAAATGCAAATTGCCAGAGTACTTTTGTGCAAAAAGAAAAAGAAAATAAATAAATAAGGAAACACAAAACCCGGTGGTAGAGAGTTGGCGCCTAACTTTTTTTAAAAATGGGTTCGAGGACCTTTTTGTATTCTCTCCAAAACTCAGGGACTTAGCTTAGGTTTGAAAATAAAAGGGAGCTTCCTGTTGGGTTCTTGGGCGATTTTCCTTCTGCTGATTTTTCTTTCTTTTTCTTTTCTTCATTTCTCTCTCTCTCATTTTTTATTTTTTTTATTTTTTATTTGCTTGGTAATTTTGGGAATGCCATAGAGCAGACAAAGGAGAATCAATCGAGTAGGAAAATTTTTGAAGGAATTAAGAGTTAGCCATTATCTTCACAAATCTAACCAAAAGGGTTGTATTTTGAACTTTGTATTTTCTTCATTCTTATCTCCTATTTGCAATATATTGTGTAAAATATTCTCCTTTTTATTATATATTTAACATGGGTTAATTATTTGTGTTAGAATTTATGGTTGAATTTTAACCTAGCTTTAATTAATTTTAATATTTGCTCTTTAATATTAAATTAATATTGTATTTTCATTATGTGGCCAATAAATAATTGTGTTTAGTGATTTGTATATCGTTCGAGATGATTCTGCATTTTAGACCAAATAATAGAAACCCTAGATTTGTGTAGAGGATAGAAATATACCCCTAATCTTAGGTGACCCGTTTAGTTATTTTCACAAATATTTAAAGCAATTGTTTGGTTTGAATTGAACTTAGAAATATAGTAGGTTAAACCAATTAATTAGGATTATTTTCGTTAAAATTGAAAAAATTGGGTTTAATATCGTAAATGAGTAATTTATTAATTGTCTTGTGGAGAAATTAATTAGGCAATAGTTAAACGAAATCATGAATCCCAACCATGTTTTCCTTCGAAATTTCCAAGATTATTATATTTTTTTATTTTTAGATTTTTTAGTTATTTTTCAAAATCATAATTTTATTGTATGTTTATTTTTATTGTTATAACTTAATTGATTGAAGTTGTGTAATTTAAAATAAAGATTTCTTAAGGGATCGACAACTTGGGCTTAAAAAGTTCACTTTATTATTTGAACGCAACCCTAAACTTGCGTTTT